TCCCTTATCCGACTAACCGCACGTGTGCATGAGCACTCATGGCTACACAAAGAATGCAGCAGAAATGCACAGCTTTCACCCACATCGTACCATCAGAGCAGCTACACCCATACTGAAACTGCAGCATGAAAAAACAATTACCCTGGAGCCAAAGGATGCACCATACCTTGTTCACGTGTCAAGGCCCTAACAAATGTGTTTTAAAGCTTAACTACACAACACTTCAACAACATCTTTAACCAAAATCCATAAACAATTCACAAGGATGCCTTGCTCTGATGAAGTGAGCCGTTAGGTCTCAAAACTCCTCAGTTTCTCTGTCCCCCATCATGAGAAATCCTCAGTCTTTCAAGCCAAGAAAAAATAGTTGGCTTACAATTATTAAGTTTTCACACTAACGCTTAGAATTACAACTAATGCTTAGAATACAAAACATCCTGAGTTCTGTTACAGAAGAGTCCCACCATCCTTGGTAGACCTAGGTTGAAAGTAGCCTACCAGGCACTTGATTCTCTGAAAGTCTCTGCTTATAGTACAAATTAAAATCTTAATACTAATTATAAAAAAAAGGAGATTGACACTCTGAAATAAGAGACTACGCTCTCAAAGCAAGATCCAAGTGGTTTATACCACAAATAGAGACTGTAGAAAAATATAAACATATTTGAGTTCAAGAAAAAAATCACTTAAGAACACAAAATGTAGCATAATGGCATTCCTGAACTCATGTATTTTCCTATAGCATTACAAGCATGCACAGCATGGTGTTAAGCTTGTAAGAAAATGAAACATTTACTCTGACTGACCAAACAGATAAATGAAAGCAATTTACAACACAAAAATTACATCGGATTTAATGTTACTTGCACAAATTAAGCTACAGAAATAAAACACCTAAGCCTGTGAATTTCAGTTTAGTAACATAAAGTTAACTCTAATAAGAAATCCTAAATAAATGTTTTCATGACGAAGACAAAACCAAAAACATCATCATCTTGTGAAAAGATATCTACCTAAACAGACATGTAGTAAAAAGGCACGATTTTGCAAGCAACAAAACAGAAGCCTGGGATTCATCTCCATCCCCTGTTACCCAGAGCCCTTATTTCCTTCCAGAGTGAAAGGCAGACATCTAACACTACATTTACTGGTATTTTTATTTCTTAGCTTTTCTCCCTTCAGCCCCTTCCACAAAGTTTAGCGAAAGCTCAAGGCATTCAAGTCTGAGAAGTGTTATCAAAACATGGCAAAACATGCTGTCTGCACAGTGAAGAGTCAGCATCTTAAAGCTGGAAATTTTTTTTAAATTAAAAAAAAAAAAAAAAGAAACAGAAGGTTAGCTCATCATCAGCCTCTGTCTTAAAAGCTAGAGATTCTTTGGTTTGATATAAACACGTTTTTGTTTAATGAAACAAGACATTATAAAGAAACACTTCTTTTGTACGAAATGCAACTGTCACGCTGCAAATACACTTCGTGCCAGCTTCCACAAGCCTAAAATGTCAAGTAATGCAAAGTTCACACATCTTTGACAACTGAAGCGAGAGCAGACAGTGAGGATGGAGAGAAGCATCAAGAACAAAGTAACCAATTTCTTTTCCCCCGGCTCTCAGTATCTAGGTAAGGACATGGTGGAAAACAGCACATTAATGTTTATCAGGAAGGCTAAAAAAACTGTTAAAAATGAAGACTAGGAAAAGAGAAAGAACCTAGTCAGCATCACATCTCCAAATATACGCACCCATGATCAAATCCAAATTCTGAGGTAGTGCATCTTATGTCTATACGTATCTACTCTGACTAAATTAGTATTTACCTGCATTCCAACAAACAAAAGATGTTTCTTGAAAAGAAGGGTCTGAATGAACTTATTTCTCATCAAGCCTCCTTACTTCAACCTTTAACATGTCTTTTTCCTCACCTTCTCAGCATCCTTTTATTTTCTGACTACATAGAAAAAAGCCAAATCCATTTCACATCAAGACTGCACCTCCAATTCTTTATAATTTACAGGATAAAAGATTAAGACTCGTGATAAGTTTTACTAAGCAACTTATGACCATTGTTTGAAATGGATAACAGGGCCTTACGATCTTATAAATTAATAAATAAAACATAATATATCAGGTGAAATTATCAACACTTTGAAATTCCCAGTTGAATTTATGAACTTTGATTTCAGGTAATGGGACAAGTATCGGTATGCATGAATATGTTTTCAACAAGTCAACTGTTATCAATTGTTTTATACCACATGCATTAAAATGCGTGGGCCAGTCTACCTCTTGCTCCAGAAAAAAAACAAATGCCGTAAGTAAATTTGTTCCAACTACAATAAATGCCTATGATTCATACTGTAACATTTCTATTATAACTAAAATAATGTATATGCCAACAGTTTTTATCAGACGCGTTACAAACAGAAACTGTTCCATCTCCTTTTGTGTGAGCTCAAAAGTTCTCCACATGTCTAAGCCTCAGAAGTACTGGAGTTCAGAACTACTAAAACCAACCAGAAAGCCTGAAGGGAGATCTCATTTTGATGAGCACTACAAGCAGGGCTCTGAGTTCCTCTGAAATCCTATTCAGAAATCCAGAGGCTAAAATTATACAACAGTGCACCTGTAATGAAAACAGTGCTAGCAACAAGTTGCTAACAGACACAATTCAGACATCTTAATTGCTGTTTTCCCCGCTTCTGCAGTTCACAACATATTAAAAAAACAAATATCCAGGCCCCTCTCTGCAAGTAAAGAATATCACCACTTCACCACTTCAAGTAATACTTTTTTTTTTTTTAAAAAAAAATCAGTGATCGACACCTCAGATGAAAAGTGTGCACTGGTAACTAAAAAAAAAAAAAAGAAAAAAAAAGGGGCAAAACGAAAAACCACTTAAATGGAATTTGTGTTGCGATCCTGGCAAGTCCAGCTATGCCTACAGACCATATATATTGCATATAAAAACCGTAAAACCACAAAACGCACCTCACCGGCCTACAGGGGCACAGACCGAACCGGGATGGCCGCCTCAAACCAACCCACTCCCGAGCCCAGATTCCCCATCCAAGTTAACCGAACAGCGGGGGGGGGGGGGGGGAATAAAAAAAAACAAAAAAATAAAGCGGTTCAGCACAGCGCCCCGCGCCCCGCCAGCCCGGGGTGGGGGGGGGGGCGGAAGGAGCCGGCGGGGTTGCGGACGCGGCGCAGCTCGGAGCCATTGTGTGCGCGCGGGCGGCGCGGCGGAGCGCGCCCCCTGCCGGCCGGCCCCGGCAGCCGCCCGCCCGCCCGCCCGCGCGCGCGCGCGCGCTGGCCCCGCCCCGCGCCGCTCCCGCCTGCCCGCACCACGTCGATGACGTAGCTCCCTTGCCAGCCCGGCCAGGGCCGGGGCTCTCGCATTAGGGCGCTTGTTGTTATTTACCCCGACCAGGCAGCCCCCCCCCCACCCGCCCCCCCAACCACAAACAACCCCTCAGTCTCCCCTCAGAGCCCAGAGGCAGGAGGAGACGACCGAGGTTGTTCGTAAAAAAAAAAAATTTTCAAAGTTATTCTTCTTTTTTTTTTTTTAAGTTGTATCTTTTTTTTTTTTTTTTTTTGCGGGAAATTCAATTTTTTTATTGGGCTGCTCAGGGAGAGAGTGAGGCGAACCAAAAAAAAAAAACCACACACACACACAAAAAAAAAAAAAAACTTTGCACGGCGGCCGGCTCCAGCCGCTCTCCTTACCAGGTTCTGGTAGCTGCGGGGATGCTCCTTGCCGGTCCAGTCCGTGCGCTTGGGCAGCAGCTGAGGGAGGGAAGGGAGGGCACCCCGGTGAGCGGCTCCCCCCCCTGCCGAGCCCCCGGCGGCGCCCGGGATGGGGCGGGGGGAGCGGGAGAGAGCGAGGGAAGGGGGAGGGAGGCCGCAGGCGGGGCGAGCGCCGGGTGCGCGGCGCCGCTTACCTCTTTCTCCGCCACTTCTCGGATCAGGACCTGCGGCGACAACAAAAGGGGGAGGGGGGCATAAGTAAAGGGGGGGGGGCGCCGATTTGGGGCTTTTTTGGGGTTTTGGTTTTTAATGGGAGAAAGGGGATGAGGCTGCGAGCGCGCCGCCCGGCCCGGCCGCCCCCTCCCCGCCAGGCCCGGCGGCGCCATCCATCCATCCGTCCCCTACCTGAGCCGCTTGCTGGCAGGGTCCGTCCTCCAAAAAGCGAGCGATGAGGAAGTAGAGCTCTGAGGGGAGAGGAGAGGCGGTGAGGGCGGGCGCTCGCCCCTTCCCCGCGGGCTTCCCTTTCTTCACCCCCCCCCCCCGCCTCCCCTTCCTCCCCGGTTCCCGCTCGCTTCCCGCCGCCGCGCACGGCGGCTCCCCCGGCACTCACCCGCTCGCAGCTCCGCCGTGTGCCTGCCGCCGCCGCCGCCGTCCCCGGACATGGCGAGGCGAAAAACCGGGGAGGGGGGGGGGGGGAAGGAGGGGGAAGGAGAAGGGGGGGGGGGGGGGCGGCTCGGGCCGCGCTCCCGCGGCAGCGTCGGGGCCCAGCGAAACGCGCCCGCCCGCCCGCCCGCCCGGTAGCTGTCACTGTGCGTTCACCAGGAAGAGTCTCGGCTCCACCATTCAACCCACGGCCGGAGGGAGGAAACAACAACTCACGGCGACCCGCCGCCAACGCCGCCGCCGCTGCCGCCGCCAGCCAGCCAACGCGAGCGGCCGCGATCCCTCCGCCCGGAGAAAGAGTCCCCTCCTCCTTCTCCTCCGCGCCCCCCTCCTCAGCCCTCACGGCCCCTCGCGCCGCCCCTCCCCCCCACCACCACCCCGAGCCCCCTCAGTCCCCGGCGGCGGGGAGCGGCCAGGCGGGGAAAAGGGCGGGAGCTGCGTCCTCCTGCCCCTCTCTCCCGCCGCCGCCGCGGCCCCCGGCGCTGCCCGGCTGAGGGGAGAAGGGGGCGAGGGTGAGCGCTACGTGTTTATTAGCGGGCGGGCTGAGGCAGAAGATGTCGGAGCGGCAGAAGGCGGGGTGAGCGGGAAGGCGGCGGGCGGGCGGGCGGGCGGCTGAAAGGCGCTTTCTCTGCGAGGTGCGGGCGGCCGGAGCGGCGGAGGGATACGACGCACGGGGAGGAGGGGCTGCGGCTATGGGGGGGGGGGGGAGGAGGGAGGGAGGGAAGGAAGGAAGGCAGGCGAGGAGGGGAGGGGGGGCGGTGGGGAGGCTGGAAGTTACCGAGTTTCAGTGTCGCAGAAATGGGGAAGCGAGCGGAGCCAAAATGCCCCCGGGGAGCGCGGCCCCGCTGGGGGAGGCGGTCTGAGGAGAGCACGGCCCTCCTCCTTTCCTCCCCCCCCACGCCACCACCTCTCCCCCCCCCCCCCCCCCCCCCCCGCCGCCAGGCCCCTCCGGCGGCCGCGGGCTCCCTCAGAGCCTCGGGGCGTTGCGGCTTTGGCATCTGCGCGTAAGTGCCGCTGTCACGCCTTGTTGGTTCCTTCTCTCGCAACCGCGGGCCCCAAGGGTTTGGGGGGGGGGGGGGGGACCCCAACAACCGTCTCTCCCCTCTCCCCCCCCCCCCCCCCCAAAAAAAAAAAAAAAAACCACCAAAAAAAAACCCCAACAACCAGAAACGCGCTTTTCTTCGTGGTTTGGCAGGGCCGCCTAAAGCGGCTCTGCTCGGGGCTGGGGGCCTGCCACGGGGCGGGGGGTGAAGGGCTCGCGGGGTGCTCGGTTGGAGAACTTTATTAAAAAGATTAAACAGGGAACCCGAACGGCTAATAACGATTTTATTCATTGTTCTCGCCGCCGGCCAAAACAGACGCGCAGGACTGACGAATCTCCTGGCTTCTGGGAGCGATGGCAAGAGGAGGAGTGTTGTCAACGCGAGGACCAGCGAGGGATGGTGATGCCCGCAACCTATGGCTGAACCGAAGGTAATTCACTAGCGGATCAATAACGTACCGAAGGTTCCTGAAAGGCTGCAACGTTGTACGGAGCCTGATTAGCGATTAAATCGCTCATTTGTTTAGTGTTCGGTAGCGTGGCGATGCCGAATAAGCGTTCTGATTTGTTCTGTAACTGTTTATTTAATGCTTTCGGTCTAAAAGGAAAAGAAAATAAAAAGCAAAGCAAACGTCCGCTGGTAACCACCTTTTTAAAAATCCGTATCCGATGAGGAAGGAGTTTAAAGGAGCGTAATTACTCGTCTTTATGGTTTGCAATGCCTCTACGCTTTTTCAGGTCGACTCGGGGCCTTATGAGAAAGAACATGATTGTGGACAATAAGAATGAATTCAGGAGGGATCAATGTAAACGGGGAAGCTGTCATTTTTTAATACTTATTTTGCCCCAATTATTAGCTACTGTAAGTTGTGAAGCAAAGCCAAAAGTATGTTTTAAATGATACAGGAACTAGACAAAGAATATTTTGTGTGTAAAGACCTTGAAGCTCTCAACTATGTAACTTTTAACAGAATTCAATTTAAACTGTATTTCTGTGCAACTGAGGGGAGGCTGAGTTGAGCGTTTTTATACTTGTGTTTCCAAGGCCCGCAAGCTCTGTGTACGAGCCTACTGCTTGAGCTTTGTGCCTGGCACAGTGAGAAAGCTTGCTGCAGCCACCCTTCTGCTTTATTGCAAAAACATAACTGTGAAAGGTTAGAGGGGGGGGGCTAAAATGTCACATATTTCCATGAAGTCCTGTTACAAAAAGTGATAGAAATGAGATTTATATAGCAAATGCCCAGTTGTTATGCATTTTGACATAGAATTATCAAATGTCCTAACCAAAAAAAAAAAAAAAAAATCATTAAAATCATAGTCTGCAATGTGGTCTGCAACTGTTAGTGTAAAATGTATCCTGTAGTATAGATTTTTTTTTTGAGGAAGTAAAATAGCACATACTAGATCTGATCACTTTATCTGTGGCTACGCTTACTTTATATATTTAAAAATGTACGGGTGTTTCCCTTTTCCCAGTTTTCATAACAATAACCACTCTGTGTTTCAGATTTATTTTAAATCCACACTGCAAATAATTGAAACAGCAATGAAATCATATTTACCATTTAATAAAGATTTAAAACATAAAATGACTTGAGTCTTTTCTTAGCGATGTAAAATATGTAATATCTTTCGTAGGTAGTTCTCACAACAAAGGGCTACATGAATAATGTGATTAACATTTTAATTTCCCTTGATGTTTACATAAAAGAAAGTGTACTTGCGTATGACATCACTAAAACTATAAACGAAGGAATAGAGAAATTCTAACAACTTAAGAGTCTGAAAGTAGAGGAACACTATCCTGAATATACTGAACTTCCCTGTTCTTTTGGCAACTTGTAACTTTTCCTGATGTTGTTTAACATACAGCCCACAGAATCAAAATGTTCTTGTTTTGACAGTAAAACAAGGATTCTGTCTTTTATTTAATTTTTGTAGAGCACTAAGCAAAATGGAATGCCAGTCCCTGACTTGAGCCCGAGCACTGCAGTACTGCAAATAATATTTAATGAACAGCGTTTACAAATGTACATTCCACTTCTTACTACAGATGAAATCTGATGGGCTTTTTTGTTTATTTGTGGCTTAACATGGAAGTCACACTGGCCACAAGAGAAGATGTAGAATTATTATTGTTTGGTGATGCATGTTAGAATGAGTTTTAAGAATTCCTGCAGCAGTAACAAATAAACCATTAATTTTTCAGAGATGTTTTAGAAGTGTTTTTACCCCGTTACAGTTAAATTAAGGAGGGGTTTTTTTATATGTATACAAGGGGAGAAAAATATCCTCATCTCTGAATTTTTACTATCTTGATTGTTTTACTTACAAATAATTCCTTTTCTTTCGTGTGATCTTCCCACCTTACATTATCCTTAAGTAAAAATACATCAGTTCTGCTTTGTCAGTAAGATTTAATGTTTTTTAGGAGATGTTTCTACTCTGAAAAGTCTGCATTAAAAAAAAAATACTAGTAATTATTTTCCTCTTTCAGCTATAACAATTGTTAGAGTTAAAAGGAAAATCTCAGATTATTTTCATTCTTAATTTGATTTTAACATCTGATAGCTTTACATAATCTTTTTGCAAATGTTGTGTTCTGTTATTTTGTGACTTTCAAATGTGTGTATTCACAAATGTTCACAAAAATAATTTTACAAAAAAAGAATAATTTTTTTTAGATTTTGCTGTTAAAAAGTTGATACATAAAACTTAGTCAATTATGGGATGATCCCAAGGGTTGTTTGTTTTGGTGGGTTTTTACCCCACTACCTTGTCCTTTTTCTTTTTTTTTTTCCCCCTTATTCTCCCCCTCCCCCCTTCCCCAGAAAGTGCTATAAGCACTCTAAGTATCCAAATACAGATATGTTAGAATTCTCTTGAATTACTGGTTACTTTTGACAGATAAGTATGTAGTAGCGTTGGTTTCTTCTTGATTTTTTTCTGTATCTTGATATTTTTTCAGGCTTTTTTACTGGTATTTTTTCCCCTCATAATTGTTTAGATCAGTTATCAGTATGGTTTAATAGCTTGCAACCGGAAAGTGCGTTACATGAAACAATGATGGCAGTTCTTGACATGAAAATCCTTTCTGTTTCTTGTGAAATTTCCTTTTTTTCCTTTTCTTTATAAACAAAGGAAAGTATTTAGGGATTGTAAATTGTTGAGCTGAAGAATGTAGCTAAATATTTCAAGCACGATATTAGCAAGGGGGAGGTCAGTTGAGAGCAACATAGAGCATCGACTAAGCTTTCCTCAGGCTTTTTTGGTTGGTTGGGCTTTGGGTTTTTTTAGTGGGTTGTTTTTTGTTTTTTTTTTTTTTTTTTCACCTCAAATGAGAATTATCCTCACCAGTTGCTTGCTTTTTTGTGACTGTTAATGATTGGCTTCAAGAGTAAGAATCAATCTTAGAAGAGCAAGAGCAAGCGATGGTACTTATGAGGCTAGCCAACTTTTTTTATTATTGTCATGTATATTAAATATTTGCAGAAAGAACCAAATGTGCCAAAATACAGTACTACTATGAGTAAATTCCTTCTGCAGTTTCCAACAATAACCTACAATTTTAGTAGCTTCACATCAGAATTCCTTTAATTACTCACATGCTCATATTTCATGCCCAGAATATATCCTTCCTGCACCCTGCATCGGTAACCTACCTGAACTTTCAACTGTGGAGCTGAAGGAGTGACTAGCTGCTGTGTAGTCTGCCCGTATCAGACATGAAATAATGAACGGTATGCTTCCATTCTTTACCTTTATTTCTTTTTTCAGTGCACCCATTACCACAGAACGTGGATGTCTTCCCACTCCAACCAAAACATGCTGTTTCACCTTTCACTTGTTTTTCTCTGTTGATTAAAAGCAATGTAGAATTAGGTATCTGTATTACCCAAACCGCCGTCAGCATTGACAAATTCACATTTTATAAAAGCATATGAATTGATGAACCTCTGACAAGCATGTTTTTGGCTGTTCTCCTCATGTGCAGCTAGAAGAGTAAAGCAAAATCAAGTCCCTTATGAAGACATCGTTCATTTTTGAATAAAAATAAATAATAAACTGTGAGTCTACTACCAGGCTTCTGAAAGTAAATCTATGTCATTTATGTTTTGAGCAGTAAATAAGTCTGGTTGAAATTCATCCAATGACCCTAAAAACCTCTTTAGTATGTTGTTACCCAAATAAAGGTGAATTACACCAGCCATGACATTCTTTCAGTTTCACTATTAAATCTTTGATTATAAAAAACTTCCCTTACAAAGAGAAACTAAGATTTAGGCCTACACAATTCCTGCTGAATAAAGGAATTCTACTCTTTTATGGTGGGCTTTTGTTTGGGTTTTGTTTTAAAGCAATTTAATTTGTGCTCCTGTATTTTGTAAAAGACCTTTGATTAAATTTACTGGATCAGTTTCACAGTAAAATTTTCTGTGCTGAATACATACTCTAATGGTCCATAGAATTTTGAGAAAATTATTAAAGTGCTGTACTTAATAGCTTGTTATTGGGCTTTTCTTCACAGAGAATCTTGGATATTTACAATGTTCAGTTTCACGTCCATTTGATGTCTCCAATGTTTTCTGAGAATTCTAAGGATTATGTAGGTTTTTTTTAAATGAAGCTTTCCAAAAATTATTATAGAGCGTGTATTTTAGAGGAGAGATACTCTATAATGAAAATAGGAGCAGGAAAAAAAGAATGTTTACTATGTTGCCTTTCATATTGACAATTAATTTCTTAGATTATTACGTCTAGAAAAATTCTGAAAATATTGGCTCTTACTATCTAGCAAGGTATTCCAGTATTCTAAGGCAATTTTTGTCGAGCAGAAGAGTCTCAAAATAAGGTGTATCATTGTTGTTTCATTGGTTTCATATTAGAATTTTAAGTCTAAGAAGACTTAAGTCTTCAGTGACAAATTTTATTTATATTGATAAATTATAAAGCTTATTGAGACACTTTTTAATAATGTTCTTCAGTGACTATTTTCTTTCTGTTTCTCTGAATGAAAATCTAGATTTCTGTTAAACCAGGGCTGAGGGCAATTTGTGATTAGGGGTTTGAAGTCAAATTTTTTTCAATTGCAGTAGTAGCTTGCTAGAATCATAGAATGGTTTGGGTTGGCAGGGGCCTTAAAGATCATCTAAATGCAGCTCCCCCTGCCATGGGCAGGGCCCCCTTCCCCCAGCCCAGGGTGCTCCCAGCCCCGTCCAGCCTGGCCTTGAACCCTTCCAGGGAGGGGGCAGCCACAGCTGCTCTGGGCACCCTGGGCCAGTGTCTCACTGCACTTACAGGAAATAATTTGTTCCTTATAGTTAAACTAAAACTACGCTCTTCCTCTTTAAAACCACTACCCCCTCATCCTACCACTACATGCTCTTTTAAAAGTTTCTTCCCCACCTTTCCTGTAGCCCCCTTTAAGTACT